TAGGGCCCCCAAAAGTCATTGGCTGGCTCTGTTTTCCTACAGTGTCTGCACATTCATGTATACTGGGGGTAGGCACATAACACTTAACACAACATAATAATAAGCTATTCAAATGTAAGCAATCTAAACTCACAAATTATTCTATAACATTTAATTTAGTGAAACTTTCACAATCAGTCACCAGGCTCTGTTTCTGGCAAAGTTACAAACTGTACATCATATTATAGTCTTGCACCTGCGCCTCAGATTTACTGTTATCAATATGTGCTCTGAAAGTTACCAATATGTCTTCACACCAATGTCACCATGACAAATTCCTGTACGTTTATTATTAGAAGAAACTTTGGCTGCCCGAAGAATATTGATCGCTTTTAAATTCCCATGATGATAAGGTGAGAGATTGCTTTTGTTGTGTTATTGTTATGCGCAGGTTTCATTTTGCTTCAGGACTTCTTTTTAATAACTTGAAGGCCTCAGGTGAGTCGGACACCACGGATGAGAAAGATCAGAGCAATGATTGAAATCAAGAATCTGAATGATGCTAAATGACGCTGTTGTGTGAGACAACAGATGAGAGGACAACAAAGTGTGTGGTTTGAAAGTTTAGTAAACTGGACTCCACTTGTCCGCTTGTGTAGGCTGACAGCATTTTAAAGTGTTAAAGTTGCTGGAATGGCTTCAATTCTATCTACAGATTTGACATTATGTTTGCTTTATGTAAGAACAGTTTGTAACCTCTGCCAATAAAGTTTATATGTTTGATCCATTTTTGTGAATGTGGAAGGATGTCCTCTTTAAAAAAAAACACAAAACATATGTGTGCTAATGAATTAATGTGGGAGCAACTCTGATGAGATACAAATTGATCGTGAGGTAGAAGGCATAATACGTTTTGTTGTTGTTTAATAATAAAAATCTGTGGGTTGAGCTGTGATTCATTATCTTTGTTTTGGTGTAATCCTTTCTGACCTTCTGACCTCACAGCCTAAGAATCTAATTAAGACAAAAATCACGATTGTTTTTGTCAGACAACACTGCGGTCGACTTTCAAGGTTCTATAGATAACAAGGCCAAACAGGGCGATGCCTATAAATAGTGAAACTCCAGTCCTTGAGCTTCTGTAGTGGCTATTTTTGGGTTATATTAGGACCTTGTCCACAACTTTATCATCTGTACTTTATCATCTGGAGTCCTAAAAGCTAAGAAAACGTTTTGCTTGCAGATGTATATTTTGTTTGAAAGTTAGTGACTTCAATCTAATTGAATTTTAATGTTCACATCCCCTAACTAGACTTGTTTAAATGACACAAAACATGGTCAGTCTGACAGTCCCCCTCCTTTTTATTTTCTTTTTTAAAAATTGTTTTCTTGCTTCAATCTTTTTAATATAGATTGATACATTTTATCTGTAAAAAATGATATTTTGCAAATTTGTTTGCCATACTTGTGTCTTTTTCTATACATGTATAACAACATATTCTTTAGAGTAATTTTGATTTGTTGAATATTTTACTGAACATTTCCATCTTTTTGTATCAGAAATTCTGTTTTCACTTTTATCCTACTGTCAGTGTCTGTTTGACTTTGAAAACCCCAATAAAAACACTTGAAAAAAAAAGTAACATGGACATGTATTCAAACCATGCACTTGCAAAAATAATTATTTAAACACAGAGAAAGCATCAGAAAATGAAAAGGCATTTGCTCTACATATTATGTCAAAGCAGAAAATCATAATTATATTTTACTGTTTTGTATTGTATTATACTGTTCATGTTTTTCAATATGCCAATAGGATTTTTATTACTGTTTATTATCACATTTTTTTTATAGCTTTGCCTGTTAAAAGCCCATTCACATAAATAACTGTTCATCCATCCATTTTCTGGCTCTCATCTGTTGCAGTGGCAGGAGGCTAAGCAAGGTATTCCACATGTCTCCCTCCCCAGCAACAGTTTCCAGCTGATCCTTGGGGATTCTGATGCTTTCTCAACCATTATAGATATATAACTCTATACCTGCGGGTCTCCTACCACTTGGATGTCCCCAGAAAACCTTTTCTTTGGAAGGCACCCTTCAGGCATCCTGAGCAGAAGCTTGAATCACTTTAACTGACACGCACCAATCCACCTGTCAGTTTCATACTCCATTTTATCCCCTTTTGTGAACAAGACCCTGAGACACTTGAACTCCTTTACCTGGGGCAGAAACTCGCTTCCAACCTGGAGTGAGCAACAAACATTTTCTGGCAGAAAACAGCAGCCACAGTCTTCAAGGTGTTGACTCTCAACTCGACCTGATGAAGCCAACAGAACCAAGAAACACAACCAGGAAATGGGAATGGTTAACGGCACTTTATTGTACTTTGAAGAAGTGGAGCTGAAGGGAATGAAATGATGGCTGAGCTGGGCAGGGAATAGCGATACAGAACAGGCAGATTAGCTGAAGGCAGAGCAGTCCAAATCTGGAGGCAGAGGACGAGAACGAGGCTGTGCGTGGTGTATTGTGGTTGAGGCTGGCGCGGTGAACCTGAGACACAGAGGAGAGTGTGAACTGATGTCCCAAAAGTACAAAAAGACAAAGTGTCACAAAACTAGAAGTTGGCCTTGATGTCTGTACCACAGAGAGGACTGAATGATCTGGCAGAATCTGAATGTCTGAGCCGGGGTTTTACACTGCTGTGGCTTGGTTGTAAATGTGGTTCGGGTGTGCATTCAGGAGTATCGGCAGGAGAAGGGAACCAGAAAGCCACACACAGCAAACACACACAGACAGACTGAAAACAAACATGAGACACAAAGAAGGTGAAACAGGAAACACAAGGGAGAGGCAAAGTTGAAACTCCAACAAAAACCAGGCATCTCTTTGACTGTTTGATTCTGCATTTAGATTTTTATGTAGCCTATAGTGCTCATTATTTGTGTAGAGAGATACTAAGGTTCAAACTGTGTGTTAACTGAGTTTAGACCAATTATTTTACAGCTGTCCTTGTAGCTCAGTTGTTTCAAATATTTTAACCCTGGCTCAACTTTATGAGAATCAAGTTAATGACTCAGATACACAAAAAAAATCATAACCATACTTGGACAAACTCTTTAAATTGTTACAGAGCATTTCCTTATTCAGATTTGATCACATATACTAAAAAAGTGTCATGGTTTTCACATTCTGGCTGTTAAGAGTGATTTAAGTTCACCGTCCTGACTGAGAACAAAAGGAAGAGCAAAAAAGTTCTTGCTGCCAACACTTGCATGTGGAGCTGATTCATTACTGAGCCTGGATCAGGCTATTTTCTGCACTTACATGAGAGAGCAGCTCACCAATCATGCACACAACATCACTCATGTTCTGACCTCACATACTCTTAATAGCTGTTAGATAACAGTGGAAATCTGAAAACAGAACACATTAACATCAGTATAGATGTAGGGGCACACATAAAATGAGACTTATATCCAGGAGTCTGTTGCCCAGTGAAAGCTGGGGATGTTGTTTCCCTTCAGGGCTACCTTGGGATGCTGTAATGTAAACTCATGCAAACTACTAATTTAGGTTGACTGTCAGGGACCAATCAGTATTGCTCGAGGACACCAGCTGTTCACAAGCAAAACTAATTATTTATTTCCAGCTTTAGTAAAAATCAACAATATACCAAATGATTAAAACCACATCAAATATGAAAATTAGACAAAATAATGCAAAAACCAGCTACTAACTAAACAGCTACTTGAGACTGAATTAAGGGAGGCAGGAATAAACAGTTAACTAACAAATTAACCATAAAACAATCAATTATTCAAACAATGAAAGAGCTTATAAAATGATTCTAACTGTCAAACTAAAACAACAAATTATATACCTGCTGAACATCAGTCCCCAAATAATCAGATTTAACGTGGATCATAAATAGCAGTCTCCCCCTCTGACACAGCCAGGTAAATAGGGGTTCTAGCAGGACAGTATATCAGCAGTAAATATTACAGTTACTTAGAGATTTATACAGACGGTTCTAAAGACAAGCAAGGCAAAGTAGGTACAGGGATATACATACCACTAGCATTGGGAGAAGAATATCTGATCACCTATCAGTTTTTACAGCTGAAATGATGGCAGTGATAATAGCTCTGCAATGGGTAGAAGAGGTTCAGCCGGACAGAGTGGTATTCTGTATGGACTCTGCTGCTGTGCTCCTCAGCATCAAACCAATGAGTTCTATTAGATCAGATCTAGTAGTAGAGATTCACCAGAGCCTGTACAGATTAAATAAAATAGGTAAAGACATCAGATTTTGTTGGGTACCTGCACATGTGGGGGTTAGAGGAAACAAGGCAGCAGATAACATTGCAAAAAGGGCAACTGATATAGAACACATTCTAGATGTCCCGTTCGGAAAAGGAGAAGGAAAAGCAATTATTAAAAAAGAGATGATGAAGAAGTGGCAGGAAAGATGGGACGGAGCCAATAAAGGGTGAATATATTACAAAATACAGAAATCCATAAATGCAAAGGGTGTAGTAAAGATGGGAAACAGGAGGGAGAAAGTCAAATTAACAAGGCTAAGGTTTGATCATACAGGACTAAACAAGACTATGTCAATGATAGGGAAGACACGATCGGATGAATGTTCTGAGTGCAGGGTCACAGAGAATGCCGAACATATAATCATGCATTGTATTAAGTATATTGCAGAGAGGGAGGAACTCAAGAATTAGGGAGGCAGGAAGGGAGTGGAGTCTAGAGGGAATGCTGGGGACATCTGGAGAAGGGGTAATTGGTGCTCAGAAAGCCATTGTACAGTTCTTGAAAAATACACAAATATATAACAGGATCTAGGTTGTAGTAGCGTGGGTTTTTTTTGTTTTGTTTGTTTGTTTGTTTCTTTTGCATAAATACAGTAATAGAATAGATAACACCGTGTCTGCATACTCCGATACAGTAGGTGGCAGTATGCACGTTGAAAGCTAAAGATTGCAATCTGCCATAAAATGAAAAGAAGAAGAAGAAGAAGAAGAAGACAGGTGGTCTCTTCCACTTCCTGTCTCAGTATAGGAAGCCATTTTAACTCTCTTGGCCAAGAGAAGACTCACTGAGGAACCCTAAAAAAGAACTAAGGTACAACAATTAATTAAAGAAAATACACTGTATGATAATGACTGAATGACAGAATATTAACTAGTTAACAAACTGTCAAAAAAGTGTGCTAACTATCATGTTTGTATATTAACTGCGTTTTAAAGAAGAAGAAACACTGACTAGTTTTGGCCAGTGGTGTCAGATGTCACAAACTCTATTAAGCATTATTAGTATTTGTCCTCCACAATTAACTTAACTTAATCCAAATCAGAGCTAACAGTTTGGACAAACTCTTAAATTGAAAATGCTCAGCTACAAGAATACATTTTGGATCAAATTGGATCAGGTTTGTAGTTTATGCTTGTCTCTCCGTCTTTATAGTATAGCATAGGATAGCATAGGATAGCATAGGATAGGATAGGATAGGATAGGATAGAATATAGTCTACAAAGTATGTTATGAAAGAGTACAACACTACAAATGCTTAAATTAAGAGTGCACCTGCTTCTTATGTGTTGTAGTCGTAGAACTAGTAGTGCTGGTGCAGAACATTTGCCTCTTTGTGTTGCAGTCTTTACTTAAAGCCTCCACACTCCAACTGGACATCATTTATTCCACCTCAAAGGTATACTTCACTCCACAAATAATCATTTGTATATCAGTTACTCAGCCTGCGTTATGCTTAATTTGTGAAAAAACCTTTAATTTTTTTTTACACCACTGTGAAAAGGGAATCCAAATATGCAGAAAATTTATGATGAATTAAAGTCATAGGCATTCTCGGAACCCATCAGCTGTATTCGGCGTCTGACTTCCGGCAGACAGCGATAGAGCCTCTGGGGGCAGACCCCCGATTTTTTGGCATTCCGGTTTGATTTGGGTGGAGGAGGCGAATTTCCGTTTCCGACTTCCGTTTATATATAAGTAAATATGCTGAACCATTGCGATGGATTCAGAGTTTGCAGTGACGCCAATTATGTTCTGCCTCGTTAGTTCACCGTACGGACCATTTAACCTGGCAACAACTGCAGCCGGCTCAAATGTGATTGGTCAATTTCACGCGGACTACAAACAGCCTAAAACCGAAAACCAGGGCTCTTCCGCTCTTCTTCCGGAAGCAAGCTCTCCGGGGTTTGCCTACAGACTCTACATTCACTGAATGTAGAGTCTGTATATAGAGACTAAGTCATAGGTGACCTGCAACAGCAAAACTATATCAAAACATCCGTTGACAAACTGTCACACAACTCGCAAGTCTCATTTATCCAGTCGTATGCTCAGTACAGGATCTGCTGGTCCACTGCTGCCTTGAGTAGTTTGTGTGTTTTTGTTGTTGTGTGAGTTGGGTGTTTTAAAGGGTAAGTTCGGATTCACCAAAGTCACACAATAACACAAACTAACTAACTGATAGAGGCAGTGGTAGAACAGCAGCTCCTGTGTTCAGTGAGGTAAAATTACCGTTTTTGTCAATGGAATCTGGCTTTGAAGAGAGCGTAGATAAGTTTTACTTTTAGTTTAGTTTCCTGTTAAAAAGGGCTGTCTGTTTGGGAAGTACTGAACATACGACAGAGTAAATGAGACTTGAATTATACTGCACGAGTTGTGTGACAGTTTGTCAACGGATGTTTTGATATAGTTTTGATGTTGTGAAACATGGACCCCTGTGACTTCAACTTGTCAGGTTTTTTTTTCTTCTTTCACCATGAGGGCATGGAAGAAACACATTTTCATCATTAATTTAACGTTACACAGGGCGAGTAATTGATATAGAAATGGTCATTTAGGGGGTGACATATTCCTTTAAAGTGTGTTTAAGTTAAATCGTGTTGTATTTATCCAGTACTTTTCAAGACAAGGCCACAATCTGCTTTACAATCAAGATATAAAAAGACAAATGGAGGACATTTTACTAAAACAGAAACATCACTTAAAATAGATTGTTGCAGTTTCTTCAGCAAAAACAAGCAAAACAAGGTCAGTGCATTACACAACACCTGCCTCTGCTGAATACTTAATATCTACTGGCCTAACAAGATCTAAAACAAGGACCTGTCTAAGGTCACATCCTGTAGTCAAAGAAATTAAGTCTCGAAGATCCTGTTAGCTTGGACATGTACTGGAGATGTCACCAGAACAAATCTTTAAGTCGCCCTCAGATAGACACCAACCGGGAGGCGAAACAGGGGCAGACCAGAAGCAATGTGGTGAAGAGTGGTTGATGCTGAGCTGAAGTGATGGGTCTCTCACTGGACTGGGCCCAAGCTGTGGCTAAAGACAGTCGCCAGTGGCAAAAAGAAGATTGTTGCATCCTTCTGTCTCACCTGGGACTAAAAGGATTAAGTAAGTAAAATAAATTCACTCAGAAAATATTTGAAGAAATAAATAATGGACGAGGCAGCAAAGACAGCAATGAAAAGCAAACACACAGAAGAGTTAAATAAATAAGAAATAAACTGGTTAAAAGAGGAAAAATACCCTCCTGAAGATAATTATTGTGAAAATGCATTTTGAGATTCATCTTTTCCTTCACATTTCACCAAAAATTCAATGTCACCTGTTCCCATTGTGCCGGAAAATTAATTAACCATGATTTATTTAGCTTTGAGTTATATGGACACCGGATACCTGACTTGAGTGGGAAACTAGCCGGCAGCATTCTGCACCTGTTTTCACTCCAATTCCTCCTTTAATGTCCCTGATACCTGAATCCAGAGGGCTTTGAGGCGCGTCACACCTGACAGAAGAGCCGTTTGTGTTGAGCTGGAGATTTACTGGCAATCTGATTTCAGTGCCACACTCAAGGGCAAGGGATGGCACGGCATACAACATGGGATTTTGACTCTCAGGTTTCCAGTTTATTTCCATGAGCAGGGTGATGTATTGCTGCTGTGCTGGTGCGTTCGTTTGTCATTTGTAATATGGAGAACGGGCAGAGGGCCTGCATGCACGGGCAGGAGTTCACAGCTTTATTCTTCTGTCTTGTTACCTCATATACAGGTGTGTTTTATGGCAAGATGACCCTGGCCAACTGAGGATAAATGCAGGGGTGTAAAGTTTATGTAGGAGGTAAACTGTGATGACCCACCCGCCTTTCTCTTCCTGGACCACACACCACACAATAAGGTGGGGTCGAGGAAGGACAAGACTCTCTGCATGTTTGTTCAGTTTGCTGTCACATCTCTTGACCCTGAATTTGCCTAAACAAATAGCTAAATTAAACGTTTTGTCACAGAACTGTGTTGCTATGCATATTTTTACGTGTGTAAAGAGAAATCCTGGAGCTTTCTTTGTGGATATATAGCGTATACATGCATATCACAAACTACACTACTGGATGAATATGTGAGAAGGTGTGTTTACTGACTGGTGTCACACAGACAAGTTTACAGACAAAAACATATATGACATATGGGAACGTTATAATTAACATCAACACCTGCAAAATTCTTTAGTAAACTTACTTTGTCTTCAGCTGTACCAGTCTGTTTCCTGCCACTGGAGATTAGAAAATTGATCCGTCATGACTGGCGCTTTGAGGACAAATTTGACAAGCTGTGCACGTTTTATCTTTGAGTTTTGTTGGTGTACTTTTGTGAGTGCATCTGAGAAAGTGAACCTGAATCCATGAGTCTTTGTCATTTTGTTTAGGCACAAATTAGGGTTACCTTTAGTGCTGCTAAGGTATTGTGTCTAGGTTTACTGCTTTGATCACAGCCACACTGATGAGGGTTTATCCCAACATCTGACATCAGCTACATCTTTTCTTTTTTACCTTTTCTCTTTGATCTCTTCAGGTCTGTAACCAATTAGTCCATCCCATAATAATGAGAAGAGCATGTTTCTAACATCTGTCAGGACGTAGATAAAAGCCAGGTCCTCTGGAGAGATTATGTGGAGTTTTGAGCCTTACACTTAGACAACGGGCCTTTTTTAAACCCTCCTATCTTCCACTTCTTCACAGAGTGTAAGTGTGACGGTCCCCTAGCTTCTATGCTCTGTTTCTTTAATGCTGCAGGTAGGCTGTGTGGGCGGAGGGATCAACCTAGATGGGAGCACCTGGTGCTCTTAGGCTAAAACCCTGCCACTTTGGCTGAGTCACTCTCTTTCCTCAGATGCATTCTCTGTTACTTTCATACCTCCAACACCAAACACTACACACAGCACACATGCAGACACACACCTTCACCACTTCATTCTGATTCTAACTGTTGCCTGAGTTTATTTTTGTGTTTCATGGGTTTCAAATTTTTCTCTTTATGTAAATAAATAATTCATTATTTTGCCTTCGGTCTGCATCCCCCTCATTTTTGTCATGGCTTTGGAGCCTGGTCGTGACAGCAGTCTCCTTTACAGCTGAATGAAGCACCTTCATTAAGGTGGAGGGTTTAAATAAAGCAGCAAGCTCTGGGACAAACTGTCATAATTTTTCATAACCATGGAGAAAAAAAAAACAATTTTATGTTCTTCATATGTATTTGTAGCACATAAATTTGATCTGTAGGATATGTGCTGCTGTTTACCTGAATTTTTGTCCTTTTTATCATTTAAAAAAAAGAGAGACAATACATAAATGTAAATAAAACTTACTCCTACTGTAAGCTTCTTTGGTGGCATTCCTTTTTCACAACTTTTTGTTTTTCACTCTGATGTTTAGAAGCTGCTCATTTTGCAACAGTTCCTGTAACACTTTAAAGTAACAAGAACACAACTGACTACCATTTTCTAGAGACTAGAGAATTATATATTTGATCTTAAATGCAATGTAAAACATCTGTATGACAACATAAATGTCAATCTTAGTTTGAGCAGTTTACATTTGTAAGGGTAATACCCTGTAACTTTATTAGTATGGAGCACCTTCCATCATGAACACGATATAGAGTTGCACATATTAGGCAAGTTGGCATCGGTGCATGTTTTATAACCCACCTCCACTTCCCACTAGTTGGTTTGGGATGGCACTTCATGTGGCGAACACTCTGTGTGATCGCAGAAACGAAGTGGTGATGGGTAGGGACAGGTTACAGGGGGTGGCTTGGGAAAGGCCCAACTAGGCTCCAGCCCACAGCCATGTACACAGCCAGCAAGCAATTAGTTTAGCTTAGCATAATGACTGGGAACTGGCCTCTAAAACTATTAAATTAAAACGTAACATTAAACCAAATGTAAAATGAAAAGTTGTAGTTCGCAGGGGTTTTTTTTGTTGTTGTTGCTGTAGAGGAAGAAATTGTTCCTTCACATACGTAACTCCAGCAATATAAGATGTTAGTTAGCGGGATTTCAAAAGTGCTTTTAGACCGAATTTTTTATGTTTCGGACAAAGCCAGGGTAGCCATGGATATGGTGGAAGAATTTTTTAGCCATGAAACAGTCCAGTTCATAACGCCTGTCAATGTGATTTCACAGAAATACATGAAATGACCATGACCTCTTAACATTGCATTACGTCAGGGGCGGACTGGCCATCTGGAGGTACTGGAGAATCACAGAACAGCTGGTACTCCAGGACAGCCGGCGGCCACCATGCAGTCATCACCGTTTTTTGTTTGTTTGTTTTTTTCTCCCTGATAATCTACTGTTCCACGTCCAGTCCGCTAGGTGGCAGCCTTTAAATTGGATGCCAGCCGGCCCATAGATATCTATGAGCCGGCCGGCTGCCAATCAAATTGAAGAAGAAGGAAGTGCATACCGTATGCGCACCGGTTGCTGTGGGCTGGGCCGAGTCAAAGTCCAGGGCTGTTTTTCAGTCCCAGTCCGAACCTGCATTACGTGGTGGTGGTGGTGGCACATATGTGTTAAGTCACGTGGTGGTTGCAAGGTTGGGTTTAGGCACCAAAACGTCTTGGTTAAGTTTAGAAAAAAGATCATGTTTATTATGCATGTTATGTACATGTAAGTGTGTCATTAAGTGACGTAAGTATGTCACATAATGTGACGTAAGGATGCAAGCAAGTAAAGTGAAAAGAACTCAACATTGACTTTAAGATTCACACGGGTCATGAACAGTGGTCTCCTGGGTCAAAAGCCCTGTGTTTGTTTGATCCGTCCACCACCCTGACCTCCTCGCTTTGCAGACTTTCTTATATTACCTATGGGGTCGTAAAATTAACCACTGCCAATTGTATTACATCATTGAACTAAGGAATTTGTGCATCCACCACAACAATGGATCATTATTTCCATTTGCATTGGTTCTGTGGTGCCGGTGTGTAATTTTTAAACATTATGTGCCACCACCACAAAAGAGATTGTGGTGATTTTAAGTATTTTTGTGAGATCAGGTTGCCCTATGTTCACTTTTTACTTTTTGGCTTGTGCACAGATTAAACCAAGTAGATATGATGTGTTGATTAGTGAGTTTTACAGGCTAGCTTTCCCATCTGCCTCTATTCTTTATGCTATGCTATGCTAATGCCTCCAGGCTCTGACTTCATGGACAAACATGAGAGTGGCATCAGTCCTCTCATCTGACTCCTCTATTTCTCATGTCAAATGTCAAAATATGCCTTCAAGGTAAACATTTTTTTCAGCTCCACATAGATTCAAAAGCAGAGGGCTAATTAGTTTTCAGTTTGTCTCATTGCAGATATGCTTTACTTGTGTGTGTTTTATACACAATAATCAGTGAGTTCTCTTTGTGGTAAACTTGTTGGTACGCTATTTCACTGCTTAAAAAAGAACATTTATGACATATTGCTGAAAGTTTCATTGCTCTGTCTATCGTGTAATGGTTGATGAAGTTGATGAAGTCACGATTTACTGCATTCACGTGGTTTTCATTTTTGCTTAGACTTCATTTTTAACGTCTTGATTCCTGTTGAGCAGGGCACACTCTGTAAAAGCATCAGTTGGTATGAGTCACCCTTCGTGGACTGCAGTTCACACTCAGATAATGAGAATATAGTGAGTGTGTGTCTGAACCTGAAAAGCTCCTTGTAAAGTGAACCTGTGAGCCATTCATTATTCATCGTGATCAAGCGTTGCCATGACTCTCTGTCTACTTGGGAGGACCTTACGAGTTTGGCACGACTCCTTGTGAGTGTCTGTTTCTGCTGCCAAGTGTTTGTGTGATGGCCTGAAAAAAAAGAGGCCTGACTCACAGATGCATACGGTGTTTGTTAAGAGACACATGCTGAGAACATCAGCTGTCTTGCTGCCACCTCATGGCAAATTTAAAGTCAATGCAAGAGACTCTGAGAGAGACGGAAGGATCTTGTTTTTGGCAACCTTTGATACTGTGCTTCACAGATTAGTCATTGCAGGACTTTTGGTTGGCTTGTTCATGCAGAACTTTGTTATATTTTTGAGAGTACTCTAATAATACAGGTAATTTCAGCAAATGTTGAATGATCAAATATGTCTTGAAGGAGCAGTAGTTATTCCATATTACAAAGAGGTGAAAATGACTGACACTCCTCCAAGGTGTTAACTTTTACTCAACTTTATTAGACTGTGTTGGATATGAATATAATCACTGCCATGGATAAAATGTTTGCACACTCTGTATATATGGCAAGGCAATAAATGTTTGGATAACAGTAAATGCCATTTTGATAACTGTAATGGAAAATTCAGCTCCCATGAAAATGCTGAAGTGACATTTAGTATTTGTCTTTTCTGTCTCCAAGAAGAATGTTATGAAAAAGTTTAGCAGGCTGACTTCAATAAAGGCCTACTCCAGTGATTAATGTTGCATTTCCATTAAGCTGTGGGGGCTCATAACAGAATGATTGAAACAAGAAGGCCTGATTTATGGTCGGGTGCTCTGCACTTTTGACGAGTGACGCTTGACAGAAGTGATGTATTCTGAACAGAAAAAAGTATAGCTTGACACTTTCCTTTCATGTCCCTTACCTTGAGAATTTTGTTATGTTGTGTACACCCTTATGTTTTGTTGCACAGTGTGATTAGGTAGTTGTGGCGGACCTCTCTGACACATGTTCTGGCATGAACAACACCGGGTGAGATCCGGTTGACCAGATGATCAAAACGGTTGGCAAACATTTGCAAATACTGAAAGTGCATCTCTTCGTTCATGTCCCACATTTGTTGGACCAAAACATATTCACCCTCTGGTGTTTGGGCCAACGATGCACTGACCACCTCCTTCTCTTGCACCCCCATTGTCTTCTAAGTAGAATTAGCCCAAGTTCAAAATCTCTTACTCATCAATTAGCTCACAGATTTCATCAAATCCCTCCTTTATCAGAATACAAAAGGTTATAAAGTAGCACAGATATACAAAACATGCAGCTGTCAAAAGGACATATATATATATACAT